CAGCAGAAAACTTTGTGGCTAAAATGTATGTGGCACTGTACCAGTTGTTGAGTTGTAGATGGTGAGGAAAAGTCCCCCTCCGATGCCCATACTGTGAGCGTTCATAAGTCCAACACACAGTAGAGCAGCTATAGAGGCATCTACTGCAGACCCCCCTTTCATCAGTATGTCTCTGTGGTAAAAATGATTAAAATAGAGCCAGGGAGGGAAGAGGTGGAGAATTAGATTTTACACTTAAGACCCTGTGCAGATGAGCTGTATGGTAATAAATTAAATAAAGCAGGTTCATATGTAGGTATGGCTCTGTGCAGTATTAAAGCATCTATGTACATACAATATGTTTGCATGCATGTATGACTCTGTTCACAATACAGCAACAATACAGCAGGAAGTGCCTCTCACCTGCCGACCTCTGAACACGGCCCAGCATCTGCTGCCACAGCTGCCTTCAAGTACACTGGCTCACTTGGGTACTTCCTCCTTCCCACACCGAAGAAGACACCCAGAAAAGTGCCAATCGCTGCCAACAGCAGCAACGCCAGTGCCACAATTATAGACTTCTTGACCATTTTTTTATTTCAGGAATAATAATTTATTTAGTAAATGCCTGTTGAAAGAAATATATACATATATATGTATGTATATATGGTTGGTATCTTAAAATGTATGTAAATTCACCTGAGGATAACTGCACTATCAGAAACAAACAAACCCACTGCAAACACATCAAACAGCTTATGATACACAATAAACATTTAAATATGGCATATGGCATAATATCATTTATATCAATACTGTGCATTTACAAAACTTTAAGACAATATAATACTTTACGTTAAAGTTCATACAATTGTGACTTACATATTATTTAAAAAAACAAAAAATTATAAATATTAAATCTATACAGCCAACCAGTGAAAATCTCACATGTCAGTCTCCTATGTCTCATATGAGAGAGAAGGGACAAAGGACTATATGGCTGTTGGAGGACTTGTTGACTCATTCTGACTTAATGTTGTAATATTTAAAGAGCTACCTTTCAAATCAGACCAGGATTATGATAATTGAAAGGATTGAAGAGAAATAATCTTTCTTACTCTATTTTGTGCAGTAAAATGTGGGTGCCTGGCAAGAGATTAACAATTCCTCAACCCCTAAAGCCTACTGTCATGCAAATTCTTTGGTCTGTCAAAGGAATGAAGCAGACTGCATAGCAGCCAAGTGAACTGATTTAGTTGCACAGCACAAGAGCTGCTATTCAACATTACAATAAGCACAGTTTATACACTATTACCATATAATGTCCAATGTCAAAGTACAAAGTTCTTTCAACAATTACAAGTTAAAGGGTACATCTGTGTGAACATAATGTGGAGAAACTAGAACCCAAATCCTAGACCTCTGAGTCAAAGTAAAACTTTTTTCAGACATTTTGCTGTACCACGTGAATGATGGCAATGAACCTTTCCTGACATGTAAAACAATTTTCTTACCTTGATTTCTCTCAGGACCTCCGGAACAGACAGTTCACTGCATTTGCCACAGTCTGCATCAACTGATAGTATAAGTAATAGACTGACTATCGTAACTATGACAAAATCATTAAACTTTAACCCACCTCACCATAAAATCTCTAACTTGTGTTGCCCGTAGAGAAGTAAGTGCAAACAGAGACAGAACAAACAAGTAGAGATGACTGTAGATAGTCATCTATATAATCTTCACACAACTTTCTCAATGCTACAAAGCAACGCTGATCAACCATGGAACTGAGAGAAAATGACAAGCCACTGTATGAATGACTATTTACACTGTCTCTGCAGTGATACTTAAATTTATCTGTGACAAAGACTAACCTGCTAGCCTCAGTTAGCTGGTGGTTCATTTCAAATAGATGACATAATCTACTGATGCTACAGTACTGTGGTAGAGCCCTGTTTCACAATTATAATGCAACACAGGTTTACCTGTATAGCTGGTTTTTGCATGGTAGATGAAGATTTTCAAGGCAGCAAAAAGAAGATCACATCTGCCTTTGAAGAAGAAAAGAAAAGCAGTGCAGAGCTGGATGGGGGCTGTTAAATATGCAGCTAGGCTAATAGGTGGAGGGCAACAGGGACACGACAGATGACCTTCTTGACTCTGACATGAGGCCCCCAGGCCAGCTACTCCACACAAACTGAAGCTCCAACAAAGCTTTTTGAATGAGAGAAAAAACAACAAAGATACATCATATTCTGCTGTAGCAAAATCCTTCTACTTCCAAAATTGGCCATATTGTGCAGTTTTAGCTTTCAAATGACAAAGACTGGTAACACTCCCCATGAATTTTTCATTCATTTGGTCCTTGCATTGGACACTTGGTTCCAGCAGTGACAACAAAAACAGTTAATGTCGGTGTTTTCACAGCTGTCACACATTATAGTGGCTTCAGAAAATATTCAGACCTCTTCCATTATTGCACACTTTACTGACATACAGCAGATTCGATTTTAAGTTGATAAAACTGCCATCAATCTAGTTTATAATTTAAAATAAATTGCAAAAACTTCTAAAATCATGTTTTCACTTTGTCATTGTGGGTTATTGTATGAATTATTGAAGATAAATGGTAATTTATCCATTTAAAAACAATAAAGTGTACCAAAGCCAGTGAAGCTGTGTTAAATATCCATAGTTAGTTACATACTGTACAGAGAAATGCACTTACAATACAATGCTACAGTGCTATCTTACAATGCACAGTGATTTCACTGGGAAAGCTAAACCCTGATAAAACTGACCAACCATCACAGCAGCTGTTTTATTTAAATGACAAGCTGGTGGCTCATTGTTTAAGGATTACCATTTTATATTTTACAAGACCAGTGCAGCCAAATGAGTGCCACTGACAAAAGTGTGATTAAACACTTTAATGCTATGCAGATATTATACTGGACCACAAATGGATAAATATGTTTATAAGCCTGTGAAGTGGAGTAGTAGCTTCAATATGTAGCTATGTTTTATTCTTCTTATTTCTTCCTTTATTCAGTACATAAATATCCACTGTCTTTATTTTTTTTTGGGGCATAATGCAGAAAAATGTACTTGTAGATAAAACAGACTTGGTGCTGACATGTTTGTCTTTTCATCTTCCTCCCTTTGGGATATTAAGAATACACGTCAAAGCTTGATAATACACATCAGTCTGTGCTACGACTATGATTTAGCTTGAATTTAAATGGCTGTGAACTCATAAACCACACGATGACATTGATGTCACACAGAAAACCGGAACAGAAGAAGACTGAGCAGCCAAGGAGATAATACTAAAGATCATAAAACATTCCTTCGTCACTATGCCATACTGTACATCTCATCCTGGAGAGTGCTTCTGGCTACCAACCTCAACATTTCCTATACTACAAGATCTAAAAGTTCATTGCATTTGTCTGGAAACAAAAGGTGGGTTAAACTGTTACTCAGAGAGTTTCTTTAAACGTCCCCAAAGCCTCGTGTGTTTATACTGCACCTCAGTCAGGACTATTTAATGCTGCTACAGTAAGTCAGTAATCATAAGCAGCTTTCTCATCTCACTTTAGAGTCTGGAGTAGTAGCAGCAGTATCTGTCTGATAAACTTCCTTCTGACAATCATTGAAAATTGGATGTGTTTCTCTTGTGCTTTGGAGATAGCAGCAATGTGTGTTGCTATTAGCCACAACGATGCTGTCATGGCAGAGTCAAATGAGTGGACATATAACCTGAAAGGAGACAAAGTAAAGTGGTCCATCCATGTGGTGAGGAGAAAGCTGTTCCAGTTTTCCTCAGACTTAAACCCCTGCTCATTTCCAGTGTCAAAAACCTACACAATCCGGGGGATTGTCAACTCTTAGAATAATGTGAGCACTGAAATCCTGAAATCTAGACAGACAGAGTCAGTGAGAGCCTTTAGACTTTATGGGTTCACTGGCTGCTGTGGGACTATCAATTACTCTCTTCTCCAACACAGAGCTCACTGCTGTTTCCATGGCTTTGGAATTAGTCTGTGATGTGATACAACATTTTAAACTCATTCACACCGTTCCTTTTTGGTGATATAAGGGTTGTGAGCCTTCATTGTCAGTGGATAATGTCTTAAAAGCTTGGGCCTTAACTTATATCACCTCCTTACTGACCAGAGAGATAAGTGTTTGCTCTGTTTTTAGTTGATTAACACGATACATCTGTGGCAGTGACAGTCTTCTGCACCTGTAACCACACCCAAGCACAATGTCATGGTGTACTGACACAGCACTTCTACAACATTGAAGCAAGGAGGAGGTTAATTGTAGTTATGTTGCTCTTTAAAGATCTTTCACCTTTAATCCATTTGTTTTAAATTAATCTACTACTTAAACTTACAAGTCATGTTTTTCAGCATTGTCTGCCTCTCTGCATTTGATCAATACTGTAACTAATGGGCGCCCAAAAGTTTAGCTCATGCAGTCTGCACAGCAGATAGATGTGCTTGGGTCAGTTAGACTCTATTTTGCAGTTTCAGCTTCGGAAATGTAGTGTTATTACTCAACATCAGCAGACTGCACATCCTACATCCTACCTGTTGTGAGTTTGTTGTCCATTGTCACCAAATCCCCAGAAAATTAGCAACCAAGAGTGTGGTGTGCATAGTGTACCTTATGAACTGCCCTGACACACATGACTTTCAGACATTTCACACAAGCACAAAGCCCCTTGCACATTTTTCATATGCACCAACTGAGCTGACTGCACACTAAGCAAATGAGAGAGCATATTACTAGATTATGAAATTATTACATAAGACCCCAATAATACCACAAGATTAAACAAGCCTACTGTTTCTGATTGACTATGTGTCAAAACCACTGTGATTTTGGGGTCAAATAGGAAAACTAAACTAAAACACTTTCCGACATGCTGTGCTGAGAATCACGATCTGATTGGCTGAGGAGCGCACCAGCTCTGAGTAAAGCAAAGGATGCCACAATGCTCAGGCAGTGCATGGACGTGTGCAAGCAGGGACGACGGCGAGACGGGCACATTATTGTGGTGATGCTTTACAGTTTTGGGTGGCCAGGAAACTTTGAAACACTATTTTACCTGGGTAGATATATTTCGGCACATCTCGCTGCAAGTTAAGTGTGATGTTTTGGCTGCATGTTGTAAAAACACTCTCACCACCACCACCTCCACCGACACATCCTGTCAGGAGTGATGGGTTCTAAGTTGACCAGACAGAGAAGTCTCGATTTTGAAAGCAAATTTTCCAAGAGAAGGCGGCAGAGACATGACACCTCCGGAGAAGCCGAGAGAAGTGGCGGCAGAGGCGGGGGAGACTTCTTGTTTACCTCCCTGATGCTCAAGTCCGACAAGCTCCCGGGGATGCTGCGGAAAACCAACCACAGCCCTTATGTCAGACGGGTGGCTTGGATCCGGGAAATCCAGAGGCTTCTCCGGGAGCAGAGGATGGAGCAAGCAACTGAAGTGCTCAAACTGCTGAGAAAGGTAAGGAGTCCAGTTTATTTTGGATCATCAATGCGCTTAGTTTGGTGCTTTGTACTATATTATTACTGTGCTTAAAACTTTGATATCATGCGAAAAAACGCGGCTTAATTGACGCTGTAGAAGGGGCTTGTTACACGTGAGCAAAAAGTTTGCTTGTATCCATGAACAAAAACACATTTTTATTTTATTTTAATATAAAACTCAAACTATATATAGGGTTTTTTTTTTTCATTTTTACTGAGTAACTATAAAATCTTTTGTATTAATCTAGGCTACCAACGGCATTTTTGTTATTCTATTATTTACAAAACGTGTATAATAATAAAAGCCCAGTTTGCCCTGGCAGAAGTCCAGCTAGAGGCACATGCATCTGCAGGTGTCAGTGTGTTAATCATTTGTAAGAGTTAAGCTATAGTCGTTTAATCATTCACTCTTTGCAACTTATCATGAATAGCCCCAGTCAAAGGAAGCCATGTTCTTTCCTCAGAAAAAGTGGCACTTATAAAGAGGATGATGCCTCATTTAGTGAGACACTGGTCTTAATCACCCACATGTTTTGTCTGAAAGGGAATGGTCCTGAAACCAGCTAATTCATTTTTCTGAACAACACAGAACACTGAGTGTATGTTAGCCCAAAACAGAAACATTCAAAGGAAGACTTAATAAAAGTAACAAACAATTCTTTCATTATTTAATGTGATGAGATTTCAGATCTTAAATGAACGGCTAGTATATGATACTAGAGATTCTTGTTAACAAAGGCTGCAAATGGGTTAAAGAATTTTTAAAACAAATAATCTAAAAGACTGACAACCTATATCTGTTTCCTGTTTGTGTTTTGCTTCCTTTGCCATTGTTCACTGGTTTTGAATATATACATGAGAGAATGTTAATTATACAAATCCACACATGAAAGAGCAGTACTGTGCAAACATCTCTGTTGCAGCTTCATAGCTCCATACTATAGCTAAGGTGTTTTTTTGTCTTAGAGGTTGCACATTTCTGGTCTAATCCTTACTGTCTGAAGACTTATGCAAAACTAGAGAGAGGAGAAAAAGAAATAGTTTTCAGAGCTCAGCATGAGCTTTCCACTGCCTTGTGTTAACTGTGCACTGATCAAAGCAGAACAGTCTTGAAGTTCAGACAAAAGCAGTTCTGATCAAGAGGGCTCCTGTCACGAACACTTCCTGCCCATCTGTAGTGTGCGGCAGAATAAATTACACAGATGTGTGCAGATTAAAGCAGGAAACAATGCTGATGAGAAGCTAGGTGTCTGAAAAGATTGAGGATATATTACTCTAGGTGTGGAATGAATTCAAACTTCTTTGTAAAGCTTATATTCATATTTGTGTGCAGCAGAAGGGATATCACTCATACATGGCTTTCTCTAATACTTCACTGTGTCTGTCCAGATTTATTAAAGCCGTCCTGCAGTCGGTCGTATCTTCTAAGAAAAATTCTAAAGATCATCATGTGAATTTGCCAGCCATGAGCTGGGGCAGCTTTCTCCGTTTAAACTGCTCACAAAGCAGCTCTTTCCATCGCTCACTGAGGTAAAGCCAGAGCTGCTACTGTTGCTGGGGCTGAAGCCAAGTGTCTGACTAATAAGACTGAGAAAAAAAATGGCAGTAGATCTCCTGTTGTTGTTCTCCAGCAGCAAAGCAGCGTTTGCTATCGGGGATGGATGGATGGATTTGGAGATACAGTAATCACGTTGTGATGATGGATGCTGGTGCATGTTTCTTTCACATAGAGGAAGTCATTACAAAGAGCAACCAATAACACCAGCCCCCACACTGTATCTCCATCGCTGATCTGCCTTCTGGGCCATTAAGTTAATTAGTTTGGGATCATCTAGATATTCATTAGTAAACAAAGAATCAGCAAATACTCATATCAGTTATGCACTACAACATGCACACTAAGTAACTAAAGTGCACTGATGGAGAAGACAAATTAAAGAGCTCTCTGGTGTGTATGGGGACCTTTTTGAAGTCTAAGAGGAACTGCCAAAACACATGCACATTTTTTCAACTGTAAATATATCAATACAAAAATCTGCTTGTCAAATTAAGGTGCCTTTGTGATTACATGCTAATTCCATAAATCATGTTTATAGATGTTTTGTTATAACAATGAAAAGGGGATTGGAGTTTTAAAACAAAGCAATGATTGAAGGTTTTTTATGTCTTTGATTTTGTGTTACAGAAATACAAAGTAAAATGTCCAAATGTGCCCCGATATTGTTCATATTATGTTAATAAACACTTGACAAAGGGCATCATTGCAGCTTTTTCTCCTTCCCCACATTTCCTGTTTGCCTTTCTGTATGAAATAAAGACAAAATACCTAATAAAAATTAAATGCTTGACACAAGCCACACTAGAGGAACAGCGTGACATTTTGGGAAATACAGTACTCCTTGTACCGGAGTTAATTGTTCATTTGAAAGTCAAAGAGTGAACAGTGGAAGCTCACTTTGATTTATTCAGATTTGAACATTGGATAAAAGTGCAATGTCTATAGAAACGTCTCCTTTATCTGGGGAACGGATTGCAGCAATAATAATGGATATGTGAGCAAAATGCCCACAGTGTACTCACACTGCACATTAGGGTGTACAGGAAAAAACTGTTCCTCATAACTGCTGTCACGTCTGACTAAACTGACATATTGACCTTGTCCTACATATCAGATGTTCCTGTCAAAGCATTGTTGCTTCTGGCTGAGTGTTTGTGTCTTTGTAACCTGAGAACAAAGCTTTACTGTTTTACCTAATACCCATGCAGTTTTCCTGCTTCAAACCTCTGATTTTTATAAGTGTAACAACATTGTGCCATTCCAGTAACACTGAATCCTTTAGTCTAAGGGGGAAAAAGGGAAGTAAACAAACCTGAGTTGGAAGGTCCATCGCCTGACAGCTGTGACGCATTTCTTGCACTGAAGCAGAAAGCTGTGGGACTGGATTTGTCGCACTCTGCAATACATTTAATTGGATTCTAATAAACTGCGTGTGTGGGATGATGTTCTGCGATTTGGAGCTCAGTGCTTTTTATTCAGATTCTTTGTGACGAGGCATCAGATTGGATATGCAGCTTTTAAATTTGTAGTGCGATCCGAAATCATGTGGGCAAGTACACAGGCATCCTGTCAGTAATAAAGACGAAAACATTTCATTCTTTTATGATGAGGAATAAGTTCAATTAGTTTATGGGAACAGGTCTATGTCTGTTTGTGGTTTGTTTCAGCTGTACAAAAACAGCCATATCTCTACATGCAGCAGTTGCACTACGTGGTTAACATATCATCATCATCGTTAAATAATCTTCACTTTCCTCTGTGCTCCCATTTTTGGACACATATGGTGCCCACAGGCTGCTCTAAATGAGGTTTATTGAAGGGAGTGCTGGTCTGCAGGGTAGCCCAGCATCAGGGAATCCCACAAAGCTCTGCTGTAATAAATCAACTCAAAAGCTGGAGGAGGAGAAAATGCTGATGGGAGTTTTCCTCTTTGCTTCCACTCTGCCCTGAAGTGTTAGCCTTGTCAGCGCATACACAGGACATTTTACATGGCTTTAACCACCAGCCTGCTATCTTACAACTGTAAAAACCTTCCCCTTCACATGAAGCCAGTGGTATTTACTCTTCAGCTCCAATAGCTTTTGGACAGTTTTACAGGACATATAACATTGATTGCTGTAAACAGGAGGATAGCAGTCAAGTGAAACACAAGAATTTTTGTTTTCTTGTCAAGCATTTGCAGCAGTTATGCCGCTGATAAGAGGAGACCATCTCTTACTGTAACAGTTAATGAAGCTTCACACCTAAATAAAGGAGATACTTTAGACTTTCTTCTTCCTCTGATCATTTTGTTTCATCTGCACAATTTCAACTGCTATTTGTTGTTGTTTTTTTTTTTTTTAAATCTAGTTGTGTCCATGTGTGTGTGTGTGTGTGTGTGTGTATGCCTGCGTGTTGGTACTGTACCTTCCTTGCAAAGGTGAGTAAGGGATTACAGAATGCATGTAAAAAGAAGAATGCGTTATATAAAGAATTCATAAAGGAAAGATCTAAAAAGGCGGAAGAAAAACATAAGTTGTCTAAGAACAAATTAACTGCATTATTGAGGGTATGTAAGAAACAATATTACTCTAAAGTATTAGAGGATAATAAAAATAACATGAAAGGTACTTGGAATATATTAAATAAATTGATTAGAAACAGTACCAGCATGAGTAACTACCCTCAATATTTCATGGATAATGATACACCGGTCAACAGATTGGAGGA